TATATATATATATATATATATATATATATATATATATATATATATATATATATATATATATATAATAAATGGATACTGATACAGGTCTGCAACATTCCAAGCCTATTTTCTTTGCTTTACAAAAAAATACATCCGTGTCATCATTTGTCACTTGTCACATTTGTAGAAGCTAGCGGAAATGCTGTGTCACTGATTGTAGTTTTTTTTTTTTAAATATTTAATTTATTTACATCACGATTTAGACAGACTTTGTTTTTTAAAATATATTTAATATATCTTTTTCTTTTTAGCGTTCCCTCATAATTGGGAGTCTATATATAAACTTACCTGATTGAAAATAATTCATTTTGTGCACGGTAGTAATACATAGTTAAGTTGTAAACATTAGGTTCTTTTCATTTACAGGCGTCTATGTGTTTTAGATGGGGTACAAATTTGGAACTTTTTATGTGATCATCCACTGGAAATAGTACAGTACACTCGAATTAGATGCCATTAACATTTCAGTCCAAGAGCAAAAGCGGAAAGTGGTTGAGAAATACGCCATCTTGCTCATCCTTCCGCCCCCCCCCCCCGCTTGGATTCACCCAAAACCAATCCCCATGTATGTCAAATCAAAAAGTTAAACAATTTTCAAGGTATCGTTGAAAACAGAGCCATCGCTTGGGTCTGGGGCTCAGATATCTAAAGGGGCCCAAAATTGTGATTTGGAAACAACTAGATATCAACTTCGAAAGCAAGGGCGGACAAAACCGAAAAATGGCAGGGGGCTTCCTAAATTCACACGAGATCTCTGGTTGAAAAGTTTAAAAAATGCGCAATAAGGATTTTTCCGAACTGGCAGATACCTTGTCGTTTCATACATTGATCAAAACTTGGCCAAATGAAAAATAGGGCTTAAGTAAAATAAAAACTAATCACTTTTTTTTAATTTTTTTTTTTACAGCATTTTAAAATAATTAACACATTCATCCCATAATGATAACCTCGTCTGGAGCAGCAATTGTTGTATGATACTTAACAAGAACACCAATAAATGTATTACGAAAGTCTTTATTTTATTAGCTTTTGCAGGATAATCAATCACTAGCTGACAAGTTTATTGGTCAACATCTTTATAAAAAATCATTTAAAAATCTAAACAATTAATGTTATCGCAGTGTTTGAATAAATATCCGAAAGATTTAGGCATAATCACCAGTGATATCTTTACACTGACTTAATATATTTCACCCAAAAGAAGCTTTAGCGACGTAATGAAATTTAAACGTAAATTTAAACCAAAAAAAAAAAAAAATCAATTAAATCTTATCTATTAAAATTCTTAGCACATTGATAAATTAGCCAAAACATGTAGCATTCAGATATTAACATCATTTTTCAAAAGAAATTTTTGTATGAATTGATATCGATTTCTAGAGCATTTTAATTTTTCTAACTAGCTACAAAAAATAATGCAAACAACAGCGTGGGCGTAGGTAATCAACCCCTTCCATTTTAAAGCACGTTCTCATAGTTTTATATTCCAATAAAATTTTGGAAAAAATTGGATACATGATATTTCCAATATACTAGATGAATTTCTATAATATAAATAGTTCACTATGTAATTTAAATAGACCTTAGAAATATGTATTAATATTATTCGATCTCGGTGTAAACTCTTTTTCTCAAGAGTCTCGGTTAAATGTATGACCCTTTTCCTTATGTTGTGCAACGGATGGAGTAGGGAAAGACAACTCTCATCAATATAACTACCACGTTTGATAAACGAATATTCTCATGTGTATTAATATTACTTTATTAATTTAAGTTTGTTTAAAATATTTCACAAGACAGATGGAGTATATAGATGATGCCAGTGGCATCGCCCGACAACAACAATATTCACTTATGTGAGTCTATCATTTAAGCCCGTTTAGTTGCTCTGCTGTATTTTTCAAAGACGTCAGTCAAAGTAATTAGTAGGGAGACAAGATATATGCCTAATTTTCTTTATTTAATTAAATTTTTTACGCCCCACTTCAACTCGGAAGTCCGAAACCCATCATTTTCTAAAATAAAATGTCAAAGCTCAATAAGGCGCCCCGGCTAATGTAGATACTTTGTTCAAAAATTTAAACATTTTGTAGAAATAAACCAATGGCATAGTTGAATAGAGCTAAATTTGTACAGAATTATAACACCAAAATTATATTTTTAGCTGTTGTAGTTTTCAAGTTATGAATTTTTAAAGTACGACTTGGTTTGTCCTTTTTTTAACATGGACTGCATCTCCACATTCTGTGACCTCATTCCGCCGATCACGTCATGCGCAATGACTATATAGTTTATATAAGGCTAAGGCATTCCCTTATCACTAAAATACTGTTTAGGGTCGATTTATTTTAAACTTTCAACTTTGGCACATGAATAATTAATTAAAGCTTTCATTGACCAATGGTTTAATAGTTTTTGCACACGGCAAACACTTATGAATGAAACTCTGAGATAGTACTACGATATAGCCGTTATGCAAGTGGCTGTGAATGGTTGCCAATGACAACGTGTTGCACACGGAAATTTCTGATCATTTATAATATGGACTCTACAGGGTTTTTAAAGCTCAAATTAAAACATTCCAGTTTAAATGTCTTCAAAATGCATTCTGAAACACAAGTTATCAAATATTTTGATGTATATAGTGGTAATAATTAAATATTTCTTAAGTATCGGCAACTTCCGCCATTAAAAAGGGGGCGTGGCCCACGCCATGTCGAAATAAGGCGGAGCCCCCTTATGGTGATATGGGTCACTGGGAGAAGCGTAGCGAACGTGGGACACGACCTACATCAATGAGAATTGGCACAGATATATATCAATATCTAATGCCTTACACGATTTAATATGAAAGACCTGTTCCTTTTATTTCACAAAAAATTTTGTATTTGAAGATGCCTTATATATACCAAAGATTTTCAAAATGAAGTTCGATTGAAAAAAGCAAAATAGTTGGATGGAAATGTAGGCCAAGATGTCTTCCCAATTATAAGGCCGGAAACGGAACTCAAATATATGTCCAAATAACTAATTTAATAATAAATAGACACACACATGGGAAAATTAAAAACTCGGATTTTTCGGCGCCGACGCCCATTTCCGATACAAAAAAAGTAGTAGTCTCCCTTGTTTTATCGAAGTATCTAGCTAATGTGAAAAGAACGCACCCTGACGTCATTTTCGTGTTACATCCCTAGTTTCCATAGCCATAGGCATAGGGTCAGGACCCAGGTTAGGGATACGTTTAGGGTTCAGGTTAGGTTTAGATTTAGGGATACAATTTATTGTAAATTCAGAGAGAGCGGCCTGCGTCTATTTCCATGGCCGCCATCTTGGTTGGCTCGACCCGCACACTTTTACGTATTCAAGGGTCGAGGCAACCAAGATGGTGGCCATGGAAAATAAAATAACTCACGTTTGCTAAAATTAGGAAGAAAATGTTAAAAATGTATGAAAAAAATGTTTTAAATCGATCCTTATGACTATGCGCCCTATGCCTAACCTGAACCCTAAATCTATCCCTATGCCTAACCAGAACCCTAAATCTATCCCTATGCCTAACCCGAACCCTAAATCTATCCCTGTGCCTAACCCGAACCCTAAAACTATCCCTATGCCTAACCTGAACCCTAAAACTACGCCTAAAGCCACAAGTAAAAACACATGTAATTTACAAACTGTGGCAAGAAAACAATACAAATTTAAAAAAAAAATGTAAACAAATTCTAAAAATAATTATAACATAAAGAAATAATGAAAATCCAACTTACAGTTTCATGAATTACACTTTTACACACTTTATTTCAGGTTCCAAAGAAAATATAGCCCCAAAATGAACAAATCTCCACACCCCACAGGCACCCCAAATATATCAAATATGGCGGAACAAAAAAAATAAGATAATGAGCCAACCAATCAAAATTTTAAAATTATAATTGATCAACCAATAAAATTTTAATTCGTGAAATGTAAATCTATTAACAAAAAAATAAGGGGAGTGAATCCAAAACAAAGTTGTTGTGGGCCGCTAAACTAAATCTGAAACAGCCCAATTGATTCATTAAAAATTATTAGGCCTAGCCTAATTAAAAAATTAGTAATTCAAACTCCACTAAACATCAAACTAATTAGTAAGGCTGTGACTATTGAATCTATTGGTAGTAAACTACCAATAGCTCTAGGGACTTATTTGAAACTATTCTTGGTAAACTACCAATAGCCAATAGCTTCTAGAGAGCTATTGGTACTCCACTGCCAGTAGCTTCTAAGTCTGAGCGGGTAGTGGTATTTTACTATAAAAAAAAACAACCAATTGGTGATAGATTGATGTAGTGAAATAATTATTGGTAGTCACAATTTATTTTTTATTACAACACTGAAATCATTTCAGTGTTGTAACTGAAATCACTCTAATTTATGTTGCCAAAAAAACAACAACATGTGCCAACAAAATAAATTGTTTGTGTCTAATCTCATAAAATCACTCCAATCGGATTTTCAAGACATAATAGACTTATTTTTCTTTCTTTGTAATTTGTATATATTTTATTTTATTTATGTCATCTCTGCTCATGTTTTCATTCATAAAAATTATGTGCAGTTTAAAACATTGATTCTGCATACATATACTTACATAGCATTTAAAAAAAAAAAAAAGTAAATAGTCATTCCTTGACATTAAATTGATTAATTTGTGTTATTGTTGCACAATATTCCCAATAAAATTGTTTAATTGTACATAAAAATGTTGATGCCTTTATAAGTTAACGAGGGCTCATTAATATAAATCAAAATTTCTATAAAAAATAGACATTTCTCCCAACAACAGAAAATCAAAAGCTGTGGGGGGTGTGTTGGTTCAAGTGACCATGTTCCTAAAAAATTAAAAAATGATTGTCCTAAGCTTATTTTATCATTGTTTAGCCTAATCACGTTATTATACTGTTTTATTTAACTTAAGTTACAAGATTTTGTTTTTAATATGCACACTTTGTATGCCGTAAAACTTCTTATGGTAATTATTTAGGCATGTATTTTAATTTATAATTTTAATCATAATAATTAGCACAAACAAAATGTTGACATGATTTTATTTTTACTGCACATCCTACTTTGGCCTTGGCAAAAAAGAAGCTGGGTAACATTTTTTTCAGACTATGATCCCCCCCCCCCCCATCATACATTTATATAAGATCTATAGTAGTCTATATTTTAAATGTTGACATGATTTTATTTTTACTGCACCTCCTTCTTTGGTCTTGGCAAAGAAAAAGCTGGGTAACATCTTTTTCAGACTTTGCACCCCCCCCCCCCATCATACATTTATATAAGATCTATAGTAGTCTATATTTTAAATTATATAGCAATATAGCCAAATCTGAGCATGGGGAAGGCTACAGCAGATAGTGTTAAAACTTTAAAACAGTACTGTAGATTTTATAATTAGTGTCGAGGTGTTGTCGCTAGACAAACTAGTAATAAATGAACAGGGCAATACTTTGCCAGCCTCATTGGAAGCAGATTTTTAAAGCTCAGATTTTGGTTTGATTTGATTGGCTGGACTACCAATAGCTCTCTAGAAGCTATTGGTAGTTTACTACAAATAGCTCCCTGCCCTAACTAGAAGCTATAGGTAGTAAACTACCAATAGACACTTTCAATTTGTAATGACTAACTAGGCTTATCTTGAATTATCAACTTTTAACTCACCCCCACGTTTTTTTTCTTGAAAATTTTAAGCTGACTAAGGGTAAATTTTAACTTTTCCAGTCTAAGCTTATTCATACTAAGTACCAAGTCTATCAATTTGGTATAAAACTTTTTTGAAGCTTTGTTAATTTCTGATATAGTACATGTCATATGTTAATCATATTTACTGCTTTCCCAGATCATGTTGTCGATGTGGGCTACAAATAGAGCCTAATCCAACCAATATGTGCGTTGACTGCCTTCGGTCTGATGTTGACATAACTGAGGACATCCCCAAAACTTCAGCTTTGTCATTTTGCAGAGGCTGTGAGAGGTAGCTGTTGTCAGATATCAGATCCTATAATTATTTTTTATTTATTGTCAGCAGATTTTAACTTGACTTTCTATTGCTGCATTTTTCTGATTGAACATTGATTTTGCAGTAATTGAGCCTAATGATTTAAAGACACATTTATTTCGCAAATACCTTCTGGGATGATTGTCTACCATATTTTCCATTTAATGCATATTAGCTGTGTTGCTCACGGTTGAAATGGGTTGAAAGACTTTGACATTGTATGCTTGTAATTAGTTTTTGTAGTGTTGCGTTTGTTTTAAATATGGTAAATTATAGATTTTTTACTCTTGTACCGCGCTTCGAGCCTTTATTATTATTTATTATTATGTTCTTATGACACTTATGTTGTTTCCATGCTTAAAAATTTCCAGTTCAATTTTGAAGACGCTATGGTTAAGAATTTAAATTATCTATACCTTTCACAGTTAGAACCGGTGCACTGTTATGGAATAGTAACAGAGACCCTTTCCATAACTTAAAATGTTTTCTTTATCTGTCACTGAAACCTTTTTATTATATTTTTGCTGAAGACAAAAATATTATTGCCAGAAATATTTAGCTTGATTGAAACTACGCCCTTAATTTTTCTGATGATGAAAACTATGTTTGTGGTTTTAAAAAAAAACAACAGCTGTGTTATTTAAAAAAATAAAATTCCAAATAGGTATTTGCAACCACCCAACCAATGGATAAAAGCAGGTCTGGAGTCCAGAGAGTTGCTTTCCATATGTTTGAAAAAACTCAAGGGACTTACCAAGGTTAGTTTTTTCTTCATAAATATCAGTTTTAGTAGTTGATTTAATGGGCAGTCTTGTTAATTTGTCAAGTATGAACCTTCTTTGATTTGACTACCCACCTTTACTTCAATGCTGGAATGCATGGAAATAGAAACTATGTTCAGACCTATAGATGCAGATATTAGTTTAAAGAAAAATGGTTTAATATTTTCATTGTTTCTATAGAATAGTAGTTACTATCCTAGTGTCTCATTTGTATTTACTTAGTTTACATGTTTTAATAATTGTAAAGCGCTTAGAGCTTTATGATAAGCGCTATATAAAAATGCATAAATAAATAAATAATATATTGATAGTTAGTGTAAAAAAAAAAGCTTTACGGATTCAAATATATCAATTTATTGTAACTTTATACATTATTTGGTGAACTTTTCTCACAAGGTCAAGTTGGTTGATGCAGGTTTTGTGTGGACAGAACCTCACTCAATGAGGGTGAAAGTTAAGCTGACTGTACAGAAGGAGGTTTGTCTGCTTTTATTTTATTAAAAATCTTAATCCTTCAAGAACTTTTTTTTTGAAACATACAAATACATTTTTATAACTCTTTCATTAGCTCTTAAAAATATAGTTTAAAAAAAGTTGTAAGATTTTATTCCACCTGCAAAAGATAACAGCTAATAACATTTATTTCACATTCATTGCCTGTCATTCAGGTTTTTCAATGTCCAAGTAAATTTATTTCAATACACACAAATGCAGGTTATGAATGCTGCTGTGCTGCAGCAAGTGTTTGTTGTGGAGTATGTGGTTCAGCCACACATGTGTGATGATTGTCACAGAGTTGAAGCTAAGGACTTTTGGCGAGCTGTGGTTCAAATCAGACAAAAGGTATTCCAAATTATCATTTGCATTTCCTGTAAGAAGGTGTTGATAGCTTTTAAGACTTAAAAGTTTTAAAAGTTTCATAATTTTAGTAGAAGATAGTGTTATGTCTTGAGCAACTATTACCAGAACATTAGAGCTAGTACATTCAACCAACCTAAATATCTTTGACTTCCATTTGATGTATTTATCAAATATGATTTAATAACATAAATTATGAAAATTGTTTTAGTTAGAAAGCTCTTTGTGTTTTGTTCAACTTGATACTGACGGTAATGAATTATATTGATTTTACAGAGTGACCATAAGAAGACATTTTTCTACCTGGAGCAGCTCATTCTGAAGCACAAAGCCCACCGAAGTACAGTGAATATAAAGCCTATGGCAGGTATGTTGTGTGGGTTTACATAAAGTACAAGATTTCAGTGTAAAACTTACACTAGTAAAAAGAGTGAAACAAATTATGAATATATTTAAGAAATAATACTATCAAACTGTTTGGTTTAAAAAAACATGTTTTTGGTGGTTGTTAAAAAGCTGAGTAAATGGCAAAAATACGGGAGTCGATCAGTCGGCCTTTGAATGGAAGTTTCAAAATTGGCTGGCTGGTCTTCATACTATCTAATGATTGTTTCTCACATTTCTTGCTGATTCTGGCATTTTAATGGTGGCTTCGATTAATAGTTTATGGATTTCTGTCATTTTATATCAATTTGTTTTGTACTAAGTAATAAGCCCCCTCCCCCCATGTGGAATACTTTATGCAGTTTTTCACATCAAATCGTATTCAAATGTTTGTTAGGACTTATTTAGGCTTCTAATTTAAGAAAATTTACCTAATTCTGCAAGTAAGACATGTTCAATTTAAGTGTAAAAAATAAATTTGCATGCATAAATTATTCAACTCATTGAATAAATGTTAAGTATTCAGTTCTTTCATAAAGATTATATTAGTTCATAAAATTTCATAGAAGAATGTAAATAGTTAAATGAATGTAAAGTAATTACTTTGTTTTCGCAAAGTAGTGTCTTTGTGAAAAGGGCTCCATCTTCTTAGCACAGAAACTTCAAATATGTTCCTTCTCAACATGGTTAAATGTGTTTTTCTCAGTCATTTTGACATTATTTTTTACTTATTAAATATTACCTTTGTTATAGAAGGATTCCATTCTTTTCTACTCCAGATGGTTTGGATTTTTTCTTCACTAAACAAGATGATGCTAAAAAGTTGGTTGAGTTTTTATCTGCTTATGTTCCCAGTCGGTAAGTTTCCTCCAGTGATATCGCTGTTTGAAAAAAAGGAAATGCTGGTTAAAAATTTTATTATGTGAGACTATTTATTATTATTTAATTTTTTGTTGTAAATTGATACCATAATAATTCAGAGAAAATAAAGGCCAAAACAGATTAATTTGCATCTTCCTTTCACTAGTATCATGCTTTCTTCCTCTGACATGGATGTTTATAATGTGTCCACAGATATGTCACAGGGAAGGAGCTAGTTTCCCATGATATCCGTAACAACAAATTTACATACAAATACACTTTTTCTGTGGAGATTGTACCTATCTGCAAGGTTGGTCTGTAAAATATATTTGAGAAGTAACATAATTATCATGTGAGTGTTAACACTAACATCTGCACTGAAACATTCAGTCAAGTTGCATCCCATTTGATTCTTCTGCGGACTATGTCGTAAGAATGTCAATGGTTATGTGTTACAAATGAATAGGGCTAGACAGCTTTGTTGGTTGGTTATAAAATTTTCTGAAACTTTATATTTGTTTTGAAAATTACTTTTCATCTTTGCACTCAATTGTTTCCATAATTTTACGTAATGTTAGGCAATGGTAGTGTTTCACCTATTTGTATGAATATGAAATAATCAAACTCATGTATTTTGCTGACACTCGGCAGGTGTCGGATTGTTTTGTATGATTTAATGTCTTTGGTAACTTTGGTTGTAGGATCACATCATCTGCCTGCCACAAAAGACAGCTCAACAGATGGGGAGCATCAGTCCACTGGTTATAGTGCAGAGGGTGACACAGACAATTCATGTCATAGACCCTCACACTCTGCAAGGTAAGGCTTTAATTTGTGTGGAGCTGGGTGCTGACCTCAGACACTGCAATTATTGCTTTAATTAGTGCTGACCTGGGTGCTTGCCTCAGCACTCTGCAAAGTAAGGCTTTAATTAGTGCTGACCTGGGTGCTGGCCTCAGACACTGCAATTAGTGCTTTAATTAGTACTGGCCTCAGCATGGTAAGGCCTTAATTAGTGCTGACCTGGGTGCTGGCCTCGCTTTTAAAATAGTTATTAAATGAAAATAGCCTTAAAAAGTTGTTTTTAATTAGTTTACGTTACCAGCAAAATGTTAGTTTAGTTTATATTTGGGGACAGAGAATGAAAAACTCTTCAATATCTGAGTACTGATATATCTCGGTGTGTAGAATCTGTAATGTATTGCTCTTAATAGATTTACTCACCTAATGTTCAGAAATTGGGATACTTTATGCTATTTATTGATGGCTCCTGATTTTGCTTTCTTTCCAACAGTTGGTGAGCTGAGTTCAGCCAACTACTGGAGGCAGCCATTTACTGCTCTGGTCTCACCAAAACAGTTGATAGAGTTCATGGTCATGGAGATCGACATTGTGCCAGACAGGGACAGACCATTCCGTCCTCGTATGTCAACTAAGGTGCCAAAATAAATGATGATAGTTATATTTTCTTTATTTTAAATGAGTCTTGGCTTTTTGTAACACTGGATGTTCAAAATATTTTGTGCATTTATGGCCTTCAATAGGGAGGGTCTTACCTCAAATTTGAGCCACTGAGTCTGCACTGAGTAGACATTGGGTGCATTGAGATGGAGTGGCCATATTTTTTCAAGGATTATTTCTAAGTTAACTGATCATTATCTTTAACTTTTGGTTTGTTATGTTATTTCAGAAGTAATCTTAACATTTAGTTTTTTATTTTATTTCAGCAGTCATCTTTAACTTTTGGTTTTTTAATGTTATTTCAGCACGGTCTAGCTGATGTTTATGTGGCAAGGATGAGCGATCTAGGGGTTAATGAACAACAGTTTCATTGCCGAACACACTTGGGGCATATTCTTAAAGTTGGAGATACTGTTCTTGGGTAAGCTTTGTCATATATTTTTTATTTAAAACCTCCTGAGGTTATAACTCGTTGAGATCTTGTTGTCCTGAATGGTCACGCTGTAGTTTATTAGTGTGTGTATCCAGCTTTACCACATACAAAGAAATACAATGAATGTTTGAATGAATCGTTAAAGCATTAACTCTCTTCCTAGCCAGTAATAACCGATGTTTTATTATGAGGATTATCAGTTTCTGTCACACGGTACAATGACATATGGCACAATGTCACACGGCACAATGTCGTCCATTTATCTTTGTTTGTCATACCCAGGTTTGATTTCACAAATGCCAACCTCAATCATCAGCATTTTGAAAAAATGAAGACTGACAGGATCCCTGATGTGGTGAGTAGTAAATCCTTTGAGTTGGTCTAAATAATTCTGCAACACTAGCATCCACAGGTTGCACCTCATCGGTTCTATTATGACTGAATTGGGAAACAGTTATCATTATCTTGTGCCTGATACTGTGGGGGTCTTAACTTTGGGATTCTATTGTAGAAAAATAACTTTTGATCTGGTAGCTCAGGATTTTCTCTCTTTATCAAAGATTGACTTGAATGGTGAGCGTAGTAAGATCTAGGCACAGTAGCTGTGAGCTGTGAGCAATACTCCTGATGATAGGCTTTGAAAGAGGTGGTTACGGTGATTTTTGTCTAGAGCCATAAACTATTTTTCTTTTGTGTTGCCGCCCAGATGCTGGTAAAGAAGGTGTTCGATAATGCAAGAAGAATGAGACGTAGAAAGTGGCGCCTGCAGAGATTTGATGGTGCCCAGGACCTGGACACTGAAAGCATGACGAAGTGAGTGGCTGAGGGATGGTGGACTCTTTTTATGTTTGCTTTAAGTTGAAATGAATCATCTTTTTAGACCCAATACTCATTATTTCATTACTCTGCGTGACTCGTTGCTGGTGGTGTTATAAAAATAATAAAAAAATATTCCTCAATGAATTGATTTTTTTTGTGGCTTGTCTTTATTTTATATCACAGCTAGGAACAATGTATTGTCTCTGGGTTAATTAACAAATGGAAAACATGTAACTTTGCTAACCGATTTCTGATTCTATTTTTCAAACTCTAATTTCATAGGGACTATAACGATTTCCTGGATGACTTGGAAGAGGATCAAGGCCTCCGTGAGAATGTTAACATCTACAAAGGTAAATAGAATAGTGGCCTTGTGGTATATTATTCACCAATTCTAAATTATGCTGAAAACTTTGCTACATACTGACATACGAGTCTTTGTAGAGGACTAAGATTTTTGAACAGCTCATTGTGTACAATTAGTTATGACTTTCCTATCATCAATAGTGAAATATGAAGCCCTCTTGTTGTGATACCATGGATGCTGTCTTGAAAAGAGTTACTTGATACCTTATAAGAGTTATTTTCTACCTTTTAAGAGTTACTCTATTCCTTATACGAGTTAATTTATTCCTTACACGAGTTACTCTATACCTTACAAAAGTTGCTCTATGCCTTATAAAATCTCATCTCTTGTCTCAATGATCCAAACATACGTCCATGTCAAACGTAATCTGTACAAATGTGTGAGAAAAGTCTTTATCTCTTATCCTCTGCTCCCCCAGATCCCACCAAGATCACTGTTGAATCTGAAGACACGGATGATGAAGGGATACCACAGATCAGCCTTCAGGAGATGCTGGAGGATCTGCACCTCACTGAGGATGCTACTGGGGGAGAAGGTGCTGATATGATGGAGTGATTGCTGTCTTCCGTTGGATGCTGGATGGACTCTGTAAGTGAATGCAGGGGTTGTTGGTGAATGCAGGGAGCTCCTATAAGAGAAAATGCCCCCTTTTTAAAATTGTTAAAAAATAAAGAAATGCAACAAGAAGGAGATAACGGTTGTGGGCCACCATGGAACTGAGTTGTCTCCAGCAGTACCAAGGTTAAAAGTGTTAACTCTTCCTGCCTACGATGTAGCCTCTTACTTCTACTGTGATCATGTGTGAACAGATGAGGACATGCAAGTGAATTTATTGGTGTGGCTAGGATGCTTGTTGTTTTCAGTTTCTTTAAATCATTAAATGCTCTTTGTATGCAGGAGTACCTAATATTTCAAAATTTCTTTGTCTTATTATTCTGACTTGTCTCCCATTTGATTTGCACTCCACTGGGACGAATATCATTACTGACATGTGGCCCGTGCATAGTGAATGTCTTCAGTCAAAAGTTTCAGTTCATTTGTGTCTCTTAGTCATGTACACAGGCTGACATATATAAACAAACATGTACAATTAGTACACAAATGTTAGTATGAGGAACTTTTGTCCTCAGCCACATTATCACAAGGCCCAATATTGTTGGCTTATTGCAAGGCCCAATACTGTTGGCTTATCGCAAGGCCCAATACTGTTGGCAGGTAACAGGTAAAGGGGACATTAATTTAGGTCCTCAAATTTCTTTTACAGATGTATTAACTTCCAAATGTCTTAAATTTCATAAACAGATGAAGTTTCATGAATTTATCAAATTGGTAAAATTCCAGCACAATTGTTTCAAATACATTCATAGTCAAACACTTGTGCACAAAAGACTGAACACATACCTGGATAAAAGGTGTTACAGCTTCTTGAATTGTTCAATAAACCTTTGTTGGAGGATAAAGTTCAACTGTGTCTTCACGTGCTGTGTTGTTAACCTTTCGATTAACGTACATATTGTTCCTTGTAGGCTTCTTGACCTCCGATGTCCTAGGTTCTCACTAATGACGTTGCAATTATAATAATAAACACGGTTGAACAATTTTAACCTTACTTGAACAATTTAAATCCTACGCTGGCTGTTAGTCACTGCATGATTTTTTTGGAATTGGTTTCCCTTTCACTTTGATACCACGGCTGAACAAAAAATAGTGCTGTGCGGACGTGTACATTTTATTTCATTATAACTTTGCATCTATACCATGGTAGTAATGTAAAATAAAGAATGACAACAGGCTTGGATAGTGTTGACTTGTTGTCTAGGACCAATATTATGTAACTTCTTTTCATGTATACGTTAAGCAGTGATAATCTTTGATTGACTCAGTGATGTGTTCCTTAGAAAAGAGATTGATTTAATAATTAAACTTGACTTACACCGTCATACCTCCTACTTTTAACTGAACCAAATCACACCAACTGGGCACTGCAACTGTGAAGGTAAAAGCATTGTTATGACATGGTGGCACATTGTACTAAGGCTGATCACCTTTAAGTGCTGTGGTAACACTTGTGAAAACCACTGTTGTAATAGTAGATAAGAGGGAAAGCCTTAACAATGGCATGCAAATAAAAGGAGACTAGAAGCACTAGTCAAGTTACTGCACCCCAAAAGAAATCTTCAACAAAATCAGAAGCTTTACCATAATAAAATATCGGAAAAGGAATGTGTGGAATGAATGTTAAGGTACATCCAAACAATGGGGATATTACATATAGCTTTAACACATAGCTTGCTTCCTTTTAACTTTATTAGTATTAGGAACAATAAAGCATCTGTAATTAGTGCTAAGCAATACACTTAAATGGGAAAATTGACTCTTTGGGTATATCCATACACTCATTGACTGTCTTAACGTACCTACAACTCTCTCCCCCCCCCCCCACATTTCATATATTATGATACATATAGTGTCTCAATGAGGTATTAATTAGTATTAGTAGACATTTCTGTGTCACAGTGCATTACGTAGTGTCTTTCTAACTCATCACACATTACAGTGTCTTTCAGACATGGCACACATTACATAGTTTCTTTATGACACATAACATAGTGTCTTTCATCATGTCAAACGTTAGTATCTTTCACAGTAAACTGCGAACATCACATACATTCTTTTTGACACACCAAATATTAGTGTCTTTCTGACACATTACACTGTGTATTTCTGACAAATTACACAGTGTCTTTCTGACACATCCCACATTACATTGTGTCTTTCTCACACATAGTGTCTTTCTGTCACAACGTATAGCAGTGTCTTTCTGATACGTATAGCACACATTGCATCGTCTTTCTGACACAGAACACGTTACACAGTCCTCTCACTTAACTGCGCTACAGCAGATCAGCAAGGGCATCTATGGACGTAATTACAGGCTCAACTTTATCTCACCTCTTCTCCAATGTAAGCGAGATCAGTGTAATGGTGCTTAATGGATAGATATACTAGTCAAATAACTTTCATGCGTTGTAGAGTTGCTATATACTCGAATGGGCCATTACCACGGTCATCAGTAGGCACACTCCACTGGTCCGATATAGCCGTAGCAGAAATAAATTGCGTCATCGATACAGTGCCATCATGTCATAAATGCGTGCACTTCAGTGAGACAAAGACCCGACCGTTTACATTGGTCTAGACCACTCCGTGGTGAAATCGTGGTTGAGCCAATTGACACAGTCGACAACACTAGCGCGTGCGTCTCTCTTATAGAGCATTGCCAGTTTTGCTTTTTTTCCTTACAGCTCTCTTTTTAAAATGTACATGTTTGAACAGCGGCACTGTCAAAACCTTTCGAAAGTTCTCATTCCATTTTATTATGTTGTTTTTTTTAAAAAAATGCTGCTTTCAAAGTGGATTTAACTGTCAATAGTGAGTCCCCTCCCCCACCCCCGATCCCCCACCCCCAGTGTGCACGCTGATCGCAAACTATGTATAAACATTAAAAAAAACTTAACCTAAAAAAAAATTAATCTGCCTCTGTTTCAAAATGTCTTAGATCATTTTATGGACATTCTCTTAATTGAAAATTGAATTTTGGTTTGGTTGGGGGAGGGTTTGTGGAAAAGGGAGGGGTATAGATAAAAAAAACAGAATGGTTTTTCAGCCTCCCCCCCCATCTTTCCACTTCCCAAATGTAGAATCTTGTTTAAAATCCCACAAAAAATTAAGTTGGTAACATTTTGAAATGGCACAATCTTCCTGTATCTCTCGGTGTCTCCCATAGTCTCAAACCAGACGTCCGTACCCAGGCTTGCAACGCGATGAATCCTCTCTGGTCAAATTTTCTCTTGCTGCAAAGAAATTTGCAGATTTGGGATGGTAGCTGTTTTTGAAAGGGACACCCCCCCCCCCCCACCCTGAAAAAAAATTACCGCGCAAGACGCGACTCAACGCCGGCCTTTAGGGTGTGCGACCTGTGCCCTCGTACAGGGCGCCCTAGCCATAGGGCGCCCAGTAAATATTTAAATAGTGAAGTGTGAACCTCGGCTCCGGGGTCGAGAAACGGTATTCAAAAATTTTCATCCAATGAGTTTTCATGTAATGAAAGTATTGAAAGTTGCATTCTTAATTTGGATACTAACAGTGGGGTTGGGACCAACCGAAAGGCCGTGGAAAGTAATTTATTACCACCGAAGTGGGCGCCGAAAGGTTGATTCGCACAGGGCGAAAGTTTACTTATGGCCGGCGTTGTGCCACTAAGGTACTGGGGAGGCTTAAAATACATTAATTACGCAACATCGGTCTCCATTCCATGCAGCCCACAGTTTCCAGTACCACACCGTACTATCTGACTAGACACTGTCATTTACTTTTTCCCTCTGAGTTACAAGGGCCATTGACAATCGATTGAAAGTGATAAATGATTGATCTATTTCCAGCCAAATGTTTCATGTTAAGTGTATAGAAGTAGAAGAATATCGGAGGCAAACACATTTTAATTTTTCCCCGGGAACTGCAGATACAAAAACGGATTCTCAAGAGATTGTGTTGAAATGCTACACTGGCCATTGGTGAAACGTATTATCCGTGGAAAAGAACACATTTTAAAAAAAATGTGCTGTGTTTGCGAAACAAAATAAAGATGACTGCTTTTAAAAGAAAAAAAAAAAAAATTACAACTAATCGATAAACACGCAAAGGAAATAGCACAAAGTATTGATCGAGTTGGCGGAATAAAGGTCATGAATAGGATTTGGGTTGGGGGGGGGG